CAAAGTTATTTGCGTTTTGCTGGTTTGCTGCCATGATTCTAACACAAACCTGCACAGTCACGGGACAAGTGCAAACCCAGCGCGAGCGTCTCAGCGTTCATGTTGCGTTTGAAGGCGGCTCGGAAAAACAGGTTACGACTTGTTAACAACGGATTAAACTGTTTTAACTGCTGAAAAAGGTGACATGACACGGATATAGGAAGTGCGGAAGCTCCTATTTAATCAAATTGATATAGGAATAACAGACTGTTGGCCATTCCAAGATAAAAACAATAAACAGCTTCCAGTCTGGGGCCTGCTACGGACACCGTGAAAGGTCAAACAAGGTGTTTCAGCAAAGTTATCCCACTTTTTTCAACTGCACTTGCTAATCAGACGCACACAATGCGTGTTTTCTCCCAATCTATGGGAGAACGGTACCTGATGGGGAAACGCGAATCCACGTGCCTTCAAGTAGAACTTTTTTTAAACACATGCACACATAGTTTCAAAGAACCTAGCACATACTAGGCACAGCGAGAGCACTACACGTTTTCGATGTGTACCGTTACTGTGTAAACAAAGATTGCAATTAGAATGTTTTCATGTAAATGATCCAACAAAAACGGAACAAAAATTCCGTTTTTGTTGGATCATTGTCGTGTAAACGCCCCCTGAGACAGGAGGACAGGTTGAGGAATCAGAACCGAGGAAAAAAATGTTGCATTAGAGTCAGTGGCGCAACTGCACATTATTCAGGTGGATGCGAAAACATGAATCGCCCCCTCCCCCCCGAGGCGACGCTACGTGGAGTGTAAAACTCGCTACATGTACCTCGTTATGTGCGAGAGGTGAAGGAGCGTGAGGCGCGCTGAACTGTATGGGAAAACATAATAGGCGCGTCGCCCCCTCCAGACGGGGTTTTGGCGCCCCCTCTGGTGCTGCGCCCCTATGCGTTGCATATGCTGCATACCCACTTTTTGCGCCTCTGATTAGAGTGAAAGAAATTAGAAAAGGCTGAAATTTGTGACCATGTTAGTTTAACAACAATGCTACATATTTTGACACGGTTTTCGAATTTGACACGTTGATGTTTTAACGTGTGAATTCTTGATGCCCCCGAAGACGACCACAACAACATCCGTAAAGATGATTGAAAACCCTTCGGGAAATTCCAAAGCGAGGTTGTCATAATTCATGCATGAAAGGGCGATAATGAGGAACAGTGCCAGATTTATGAGGATGCAAACCTCTGGGTTAGTCGGGTTTTATCGCCTGCCTTCATAAGATTCATCTACACATACAGGTAACATTGATTGGTGGGTGAAGATCAGCTTTTAAGGTTTCTAATTTTTGTCCTGCTGAAAAAGTTTTTGAATATTTCTATTGACATAAAACTCACACCATGTCTTTGTAAGAACCCAAACATTCAAAGAGATCAAAGCAAATTTTATCCACAAATGAAGTTATATGGAATGACACAGGAGGTAATTATAGGACATACATTTAGTAAATACTTTGTTTTAAAGTATTTCTAAGACTTTTCTGGTAATAACTTCTTCAAGACGACTCCTGTATACTGACAGCTGTTACGTAAATTGCTCAGGCATGATTTTGGTCTGTAAAAATGTCTTTAACATCTTCAACTCTAAACTTTGGTTCTTTCCAGAAAAATGTCCAATTGGATACAAGTCAGGTGATTGGGCCATTTCTAGCGGTTTCACTTCGTTTCTCTGAAGCCATTTGAGAGTTTCCTTGGCTGTGTGTTTGGGGACCATTTCCTGCTTGGAAATTCACACTCGTTTCTTCTCCACGTTCTGACCAAAGACTCTCTCGGCAGATTTCTCCATTCGCCCTTCCTTAAATTCTACCTGCCAGCAACGTACGCCGTCTGGCAGCACACAGCATGGCGTTCCGACCTGCACACATCACATTGTGTGCAATGTGTTTCCTCCAATAACATCCTAAGCTTTGGTCTCATCTTACCAGACTGTGTTCTCCTTATTTATCACTGGCCATTAAGCTTCAACGTGCTTTTTCTTCAGTAGTGGAGTCTTGTGCAACGGCCATTTTGGTTAAGGGTATTCCTTGTTGTCGTAGGAAAATTGTGCCTATCTGACTTTCAGGAGTATTTCATTTGATTTTTTTTTTCTTTTTAAGTTTTTAATGTTTCTGATAGCTTGCAAATCTGAAAATGCATCTATTTTTTCCTTCTTTGGCGAGTTTCCATAAGGCTCGCCCTGGGTGCTATATGTACAAGATCCGCCACTGCGCGTTTGGTATCCCGCATATGTTTGCGTTTTGGAACCCTCAAAGACTCGATCAGGCACCAATTCACGCGTGACTTTCTCCAGCTACTGCTGCTTTCAGACGTACCGCATGGGGCCCAATACGCTCCGCTGGTAAATTACTGAGGGGTAAGGAGAAATCATCACTATTCAGAGTGAGTCGCCAGAATCACTTGCGTGATTTCCATGTGAAATCCTCCCCACATGACACAGTCACCCCCACTGCGCAGCGGTCAAGTAAATAATAAAGACATGAGCGACTGGGGGGGGAAACTTACCGCAGTAGAGAACCAGCAGCGCCGTCAGGAGCACCACAGCCCAAAAAGTTGACGACATCCTCGGCCAGCGAGTGGCATCTTTGCGCCTTGCCGACCTCGGCACTGAAGCCATTGATTACCACAAAGCAGCACTTCCCGCTTTGGAGAAAAATAATAATAATAACAATAAAAAGAGCAAGGATTTTGTTTTAAAAAATGTATCTCAATTTTTTTTAATTTTTTTTTATTTTGCTTTACAATCCAACTCGATTTCTTAGTGCGCTCATATCTCCGTGAGTAATCCTGCAAAAAGGCATGACAAAGATCCAAGAAACTGGTAGGAAAGCAGCCACCACTGCGCAAAAGAAAAGGTCATATCATCCTTTAGGAAAACCAGGGGAGAATTTTTTTTTTTTCTTCAAAAAAAAAAAAAAAAAAAAAAACAGAAGAAGGAAAAAAAAAGCTAACTCGGTCCGCTTCAGTTATCACAAAGTGCCACGGAAGAAGACTCGGCTTCTATCAAATCAGGCACAGACTGCGCTCATGGAAACCTTAAACTGTTCAATCATCTCTACCGCAGCGTCGTTAAAGCTCCATTCACCTGTGGTATCTTTCCACGGCTCTCCACCAGCTCGACTCAAACAGAATAGAATCCCAAGAGGGGGCTTGTCCGCGCACACACACACACACACACACACGCACGCACGCACAAAAAGAAAAAGAAAAGAAAACTCCTTTAAGGTGACCCTTTCAGCTTGGAATGGATTAGGACCATTGCGTGAACGCCGGAGGAAAGCAGAAGGGACCGGCAGAGAGACGGAGACTGGGAGAGGAAAAGAGCGCAATGTGCGTCTCTAAGTGATCGTGTCCAAAGTAAACATTCGGATCAGTCAATATTACGTCAGCGAGAAAGCCGCGGATATCACTACAGACTGGTGCCGTTACGCCAATACCCAATGAAAGCTGCGTAAAATACGGCTAGAAGGTATTGAGCTGGGGGGTGTGTGTGGGTGTGTGTGTGGGTGTGTGTGTGTATTTTCCCCAATACCGCTTCCAGCCAAAATCAATATAAAAGAACCATCCAAAAGTGGCCCGTCGATTCAAATCATAATTTCGAAAGATTATTGCGTCCGGACGACGTCATGTAAGTCTGTTTTATAGGCAAAATCTAATTGATAACACCGATTTCAGCTCTTCGTTCGGCTCGAACACGTAAGTGAAAGTTCAATCATGTTCACCGGAGAACTCGCTTCGATTAGAAATAAATCCTTTTTTTTTTTTTTTTTTTACTGCCGTTTCGAGAGCCACAGCGTTACCAGTTCTGACGCACCAAATCTATTATTTTGTTACGATCGATGGGGGCAGTCCCACCAGCTGAGTCTGGGTGCAACTGGAGGGCGATGGAGGCAAAAAACAAACAAACAACAAAAAAAAACATGTCCACAACAACAAAGAATATTTCACACTGCAGTGCTTTACAATGTACTCAAACCCTTTGAACTTTTCCTTCAATTCATCCCCCAATAAACACACTTGATTGAAGGTCTTAGTGGTCCATGGAGCATTAGTGAACAGAATTTAGACAAAGACCAGTGTTAGGTCATAAAAATCCAGCCACAATAATCTGTGGCTGTGACCAAGAGTAGCTCATAATGATAGCAACATGGTGCATGTGTGACAAGCAACTTGGACCATTTAGTGCTTTACAGACCAAAACACAGAAATTTAAGTCTCATTTTTTTTAAAACAAACAGGAAGCCGGTGATACAAGAACAAGAACTGATGTGCCTTTGAAAACAATTTTAGAAGTTATTGTTCTCCTGCAAAAGTGGAAGGCGGTTAAAAAAAAAAAGAAATAAAATGTTTATTCAATTAAACTAAGACAAACCAAAAACTTACAAAAATGAAACCACAAGGATCAGGAGACATATACTGATGTCCCAGTGTTTTTGAGCCGTTTGATTCAGTGATGCCGTCATTAATCTGGGCATAGATACCCACTTCAATTTCTGAAAAGAGTGCTAATCACTGGGGGTGGGGGTGGTAGAGGGTGGCTTGGTCTTCCTGTGTTTAAGCTCTATTACTGGGCTGCAAACACGACACAAGAGCTCTTTGCTTCTGGCATGGGGAGCGCCCCCTGGGGAGGACGGGTTGGATGTGCCTCCATTAAGGCTTTCAAATCAAATCTGTGTTTGGCTGCAAGGACTTCCATTCATGCACTTTCCTTTTGGTTGGAGGGGGGGAGGGGGGGCAGTCCTCACATAAACTGCTGTGTTACAGTTTTGTCATCAAAAACTCTTTGAAGGCGAGCAATCAAATTGGATTTAAAAAAAAATATATATATATATTAATAAAAAGTGAGCAGGTGTTCACAGACTAGAAGGGGAAAGGTCTTATGTAGGGATTAGGCATTTTGTCTAGCTGAATGAATCAACACACAACAGAAACGCTTTCGTTATGACCCACTTCGTCCCTAACAAATTCCAAACGAACGATTCCTTCGCTTTGTTCCTGTGTTTTCTATGACAATCCAAATAGATCACCTGAGCGGGGAAACGGAGCCATAAATCTCGCTGAAGCCGAGTCGGAAGAACTACGGGAGGAAAACTAGACGCAGAACTCCACAACCAAACCGAGCAGTACAAATGAGTCGCTCTCTGTTATGTGTGTCAACACATTAATACTGGTAGAGTCCAGCCTTGTGTGATTGTGGGAAGTTTTATTCCGCTTATTTTGCACAATTTGGGTCCAATTCACTTGGAATGAAATATTGGGATATTTTAGTGGCTCATGAATTCTTAAAGCAGGCACGGAACGAGTTGGATGCCAGGTTGCACTTCTGTTTGATGGCACTTTTGTACAATATAACATAGCGCAGGAAATGAAGCAGTGCTGTTTTTATGACCTTCATTTCTTGTGTATTTTTAGTTTAGGTTAGTATTTGCTAATGTTTATCTTGGGAGTTTGGACCACCTACAAAAACAGGAGCAATCCAAGACTAACAAAAGACTCTGTTGGACTCAGTCCAGTTCGTCTCTCCTAATATCTTTTTGCAGTGGAGCCCTTTTACAGAAGTCTCTTTGTTTTTATCATGTTTCTTTGTTCTAGATGTGTTCGTTTCTAACAGGAGGAATCCTAAACATATTGGCAGATGTTTCTGTTTTACATCTGTTTAATTGTTCTTTGTTCTAGATGAGTGAAAATACAAAAAAAAAATCTGCCTCAATTTATTCCATTCTCCCTGATTGGACCTAAACAGGCGAGCCAAAGAGGAGCACAGTAATCAGAGAAGCAGCTAAAGGGCCATAGGAGTGCCGAAGCATCTTGTTTTGCAAAAGAAAACAAAAAAGAAGACAAAAATCGCTGCCAGTACCGCCATTAAGACTGCCATGTGACAAACTCAATGCCCAGGGCAGATTAGCATCTGGTGAAGACTGAATATTAACCATTTCAAGCATGAATTATGATTCTTTATGTCAGGATTTTTTTTTTTCTGAAGTGTTTTTGATTTAATTAAAGCATAAAAAAAAAGTGGAGAAAGGATTTTTTTTCTAGGTGATCAGTTGTAATTTTCTCTAAATACAAGGTTGTTATTTGGAAAATACATCCGTATTATTAGTCTTTAGGGGTTACTTGCAGATAATATATATATGTATATATTATCTGCAAGAATCCTCTCCAGTAGAAGGAGGGACTGGATATTTGCTGAGTTGTTTTTCATCCATCTGCCATATTGGATTTAACAAACATTTTCTTGCATTTGCAGTGGATGACCAGTAGTTGGCAGTGTACGGTATGAGGCACTAGTGTCTACTTCAGTGGTGTGTGCGCATTTGTAACATAAAAATCCAGGGATAAAGACAGCTCTGAGCATGACTCAGCATTTCCAAAGCTCAGAACCGAGGACAGTTCCTCCTGCTGGCATGACGGCCGATAAGATACAGCCTCAGTACCAATGAGAGCGCCAGAACCAGGTCATCCAATCAGAAAGCTCGGTACCATGGACAGTTCCAGTCTCAACAGACCATATCAGAAGGTGAGAACAAGAGTTCCTATTGCTAAATATGACTCGGTACCAAGGACAGCTCCAGATCTCAGTCTCCGCATCAAAGAATCAGAACCATGGAGAGTCACTAATGCTGGCCTGGGATTCAGCGGCGCAAACGTTCAGGACCAAGGAGAGCGGCAGAACTGGGTCGAGAACCGTGAAAAGATTCCCTCTGATGGTTAAAACTACAACTTCTCATCCTGTCAAAATAAACCCACTCAGCTAACTGCTTTTTAGGCGAGTCTGAGCAAAAACGGCAGTCATGATGATCGTCGATCAGGAGGATGTTTAAGCAGAATATTTTTAAGGGAACGGTGCAGATTCAGCACCAAATCTCTCCTTCCAAAGAGAAGCAGTCACAGGTCTATGAAGCGTCTCGTTTAGCAACAACAAAAAGTTACTCTTGTGATTGAACAAAAATGAACAAATTCCAGATCAGAGTTTGAGGTTTTGCTGCAGATGAAGCGCAGCAGTAACTCGAGGATCCGACTCTACCTGGTGTATTTGAACCATCTATGTTCACAGTGGAGCAGGTCCAGCATCAAGGACAGCACTGGACGACTCAGGCCGCTTCATGTTTGCTCCAAAGATTCACTATGCCACCCTTAAAACGATCCGTAAAGAAACATAGAGGGATTACTTTTGTGATCTGGCACTGATGTGTTGTGAGCATTTACAGCAAATTCTCCGACTGAGACTCCAAGTTATTCCTGCTTAGCGACGCCACCATAAAGGGCGCGAGAGTAGCGCTCTTGTGGTGATAAAACACTTAATCGCTCCAAGTGTCCCCGGCAGTCCATCTAAACCTCCAAACTCCAGTGTAATGGCTTTGTTCTGTAACTTGAAAATAAATACTTTAAGCAGTGAACTTTTAAACCCTCCACCTGGAAACAAAAAGCAAACTAAACGAGCCTCCCAATCCCACGCTGCCGTCTTTGTCCTCTTCAGCGCGGCTCTGGCCGTTTGTAAAAGCAGCAGACTCAGAATAGACAGAAGTCCTCCTACGTGGCGGTGTGTCACTAGTTGTGGAAGCAGGGCCAAAGACGGCTGTTTACACACACTCACACACACCTAATAACTCAAAAACACTATTTTGAACCATTTTTCCCCCCTCATTCTGCCACAAATTCTAAATTGCTTTAGGAATAAAATATAGTTGAAGTCTACATATGTTATTCTGCTGCTGCTTTCCGCTTTCCAGAACCAAAATTAGACACACAAGCGCCTTAAAATGACAGTCTGAATTCCACTACACATCTTCATAGTGTTTTTCCCCCCATAAGAGGGAAAAAAAAAAAAGCATTTTCCTTCTCGGTATCAGCAGACATTTGGGCAGTAGTCGTTACTATTGTCTGTGTTCGCCTGCGCTTAGCTCCGAGATCAGGCCTCTATACAGGAGTTCAGATGGATTTGTGAGAAATCTGTCGAGTTTAAATGTTTCATAATCGAGGTGAAGGCTTTAAAGGAGAGATCTGTAAGCCAAGCGGTGCATCTGATAAACACGCTCTTTTTTAGTGAAAGTGTGATCCCCGGCTCAGAGGGGAAGAAAAAGAAGAAGAGGAGAAAAAAAAACACAAGAAAGGAGGAAAAACTCCGGACATCTGCAGCTGAGATGTGAGAATTTGTCAAAAAAGACAGAAAGGTGAAATATATATTTTTAAAAGTTCCCAAGCATCACAGAGGCCACAATTTCTCATTGAATGTTTTAAAAGCTAAATAAATTACAAGGGTAAGACTGAGAAGTATTAAAAGTGTAGGAATCTGTTTTTGTTTGGCAAAGTGATCGATGCTTCCCGTTATTCAGTGTTCAGTCACAGAAACATCTAAAGTTTATAACTCACCACAGAATTCAATTCTTGGACGGACAAACTGTCAGTGTTGGATGATTTTAGCAGCTTTTGAGTTGACTAAAAAAAGAGGT